GTTCACATTATCTTCTTCTTAAGTGTGGGTAAAATATCCATTTGACCCAAATTTTTATGTTTAATTTGGCCTTTTCAAACCATTTTAATCAACTTTTGCGGATTAGTTTTTGTGTTCGGTCTGAAATTTATATGGTTTGTGAACAGTGTCTGTTTGTAGTCATTCAATTAGTCTTGATTTTCAATTTAGTGATCTACTTGATGAAAAATATACTATGAAACTATTCATCAAAAAACACGATTTACATGAAATTATACACAACCAAAGCCACCAACAAGCCTAGTAAAAAGTACCAGCTATGACTTCAATCTCACTATGGGTAATAGATATATTTAAGATTTCTAAAGCTAACTTGTAATCTTGGTTGAGAGTTTTCTGGCACATAAAGAGTTGGCTTGCATCTGATCAGTAGTTTGTTCAGTGTCCTAGTCCTAGTATAAATCCAACATTTAGATGATGTAATAAGAATGTAAGATAATTAATTATGTTTGCATTTGATTCCACTGTTTGACAATGTTTTCCTTTGGTTGATGATGTTAAACAAATAAATATGTTTTTGCGGTTAATAAAATGTGTAGTATGAATGGTAATTATGTGCCAGATGCAAGGCTCTGAAGGGCTTGTTGTTGTGATCCTGTCCTGGTTGTCTTGATGGGCTGCTGTCAGTGTCAATAAGCTTGTTTAGTGCTGCAGGATAGAATTTCTTTGCTCGTTTTGATCCTGTTAAGTAAAGGGGAAAAGCTACTTACTGGGCCGCTATTTTTAGACCTTTGATATTGTGTTATTATGTGTTCATGTAGGGTTGGCCTTTAAATTGTCATGGTAAATGACTTTTTATTAGTTGCTATGTGCTTATCGGCACAGCTTGTTACTCTAGCTAGCTTTGATGAGTGTAGGATTGGGAATTCAGTATGAGGTAGGATTTATTGATTGTAGTTTGGCCATGTCATTTTATAATATTTACTGTTACTCTGTATTTTTTAGCACCTTCAATTCTTGTTAGACCTGTTATTATGTATTTGTTAGAATAGTTATTAAATCTATGTGTAATCATTAAGTTAGAGTAGGAGGTAGTGTGTTGGAAACACCTACCAGCTGTCCTACTGTTTTACCTAGTTTTGTACCTAGGTGTCTATGCCCTCTTGTATAAGATTTTCATTATAAATAGAAGATGGTTGAGAGGGGTGATTAAGCCCTGTTTTGCTTATGAAATTCTCAGTTACCACACCCTATGAGTTAGAATGCTGATGGTCTAGTAGGGCAGTTGCAGTCTCTCATTGCTTGATAAGAAAAAATATATATATATATATGCATGATAAAATTATCTTTGGTCTTTTTCTTCCAGTAAATTATTCAACTGCTGCTATAGATATGTAATTGCATTAAGAATATTCTACACAAACCTGTTCAGCTTAAAACTGGTTTATAACTGGGTTATGGTTTCAAATGGCTTTTAAAACTGGTTTTAAATAAAATGGATTGAATTTTAAATTCAAACCACGTTAAGTGGATTTGTTTGGACATGGATTGGATTTGTTAGAATCCAAAATGTGCCCACTGTAGAAATGTTGTTATGGAGAGTGGACTAATTTTTAAAGTTTCCGTGTGCTTTACTTTTAGTGGCTGCTGATGGGAATGAACCAGTTCAGATGAAGCTGCATAAATCCTTGAGATTGTGGACATTTTATGTTGATTTGGAAGAAAGCCTAGGTTCCTTGGAATCAACGCGTGCTGTTTATGAGAGAATTTTGGATTTACGAATAGCCACACCACAAATAATCATCAACTATGCATATTTTCTGGAGGTTTGTTGTACTGTTTTTGTACCAAAATCTTTTTTATTTTGCTCAACTGGTTTTGGCTAATGGTCAACTCCTTACATTGATTTATGCAGGAACATAAATACTTTGAAGATGCTTTTAAAGTTTATGAAAGAGGTGTAAAGATATTTAAGTACCCACATGTTAAAGACATATGGGTTACATATCTGTCTAAATTTGTGAAGAGATATGGGAAGAATAAATTGGAGCGAGCAAGAGAATTATTTGAAAATGCAGTTGAATCGGTATGCACAATTTATTTACTGATTGATTGTCAAAATCTAAGACTTTTTTATCCTTCCATTTAATTATACAATCCATCCAAGACCTTTTTATTTGAACATCGGATGACTTAGATTGAATTTTTACTGGATGTAGATGGATCATGGATAAAAGGATCTGTTTGTCACCCAAACAAGATTGTTGTCAAAACATGTCATTATGTATATATTTTATTCCCGTTTTCAATGTTACTTTTTGAGTTCTTTTAATGCATTGCAATACTAAACTAATCCTTCTTCTGGATCGCGGTTGCCAAACAGGCCCCAGCTGATCAAGTGAAGCCACTTTACCTGCAATATGCGAAACTGGAGGAGGACTATGGTCTAGCGAAGCGAGCTATGAAGGTTTATGATCAAGCAACTAAGGCTGTTCCTAACAATGAGAAGTTAAGCATGTATGAAATATATATCTCTCGTGCAGCTGAGATATTTGGTGTACCCAAAACAAGGGAGATATATGAGCAGGCAATTGAATCTGGTCTTCCAGACAAGGATGTCAAAACCATGTGTTTGAAGTATGCTGAGCTTGAGAAAAGCTTGGGAGAAATTGACCGGGCCCGGGGAATATATGTATTTGCATCTCAGTTTGCAGATCCACGGTCGGATCCAGAGTTTTGGAATAAGTGGCACGAGTTTGAGGTTCAGCATGGGAATGAAGATACTTTCAGAGAAATGCTTCGTATTAAGCGGAGTGTCTCTGCAAGCTACAGTCAGGTTACTTTGAATTTTCATATTCACTTTTCTCTGTTAGCCTGAAACCTTAATATTTGGAATTTTTTCTAATCTTACTTCTCTTGTTTTTCCAGACACATTTTATACTGCCTGAATATCTGATGCAGAAGGATCAAACTGTAAATCTTGATGAAGCCAAGGACAAGTTGAAACAGGCTGGAATCCCTGAGGATGAAATGGCCGCTTTAGAAAGGCAATTAGCCCCAACAGCTGACAATACAGTAGTGACAAATGATAGAAAAGTTGGGTTTGTGAGTGCTGGAGTGGAATCTCAGTCTGATGGAGGGATAAAGACTAATGCAAATCATGAGGATATCGAGTTACCAGAAGAAAGTGATTCTGATGATGACGATGATAAGATTGAAATTGCACAAAAAGATGTTCCTTCTGCTGTGTTTGGTGGTTTGATTAGAAAGAGAGATGAGGATGAAAAGAATGGAGAGGTAGATGCTGCAAGAGATAAGGATAACGAAAATCAGCTTGGTGCTCTTGAGAGAATAAAGAGGCTAAAACGAAATTAAATACTCGGGATGAAATTTTGATATCTGTGAAATTAGTTTTGGTTTGTATTATGTATTATCAATCTATCCAAAGATAATGCTGAAGATGCTTTCTGATGGTGCTAAACCGGTAAATCCCTAGTGGAGTCTTCATTATATTTAGGGTATGCTTAGGCAAGCTTATTCGTGATTTTTTTAGGATGGAAAAAATGAAATTGACTTTCCTATAGGTTAAAATTAACTTGTGCTCAAGTTAAAATAAAAAATTGGAGAATTTGGAAAAGTTATATTTGAGCTTCTACAACTTAGCTCATACATAATTTTACTTTTAACCTGTAGAAAAGTGTCAATTTCATTTTTTTCTTAATTTCCCCCCCTATAATAAGTCTTTCTGGAGAAATTTGTTCAAACATGTTCTTACTTTCTATTGTTATAAAATGCTTGCTAGGCCTAAATATTTCTTTGAACTTGATTTGAAACTTGTGTATCTCTCCACGTTTACGACTTTATCTGCTGCATCATGATAACTTGAGACATGATTTTATATGTTCTTCAATACAGGGGGAAAGGGCCACTATTTTTCCTGCAATGTGCATCAAGTTATCAGATCACAGTGAAGTACAAAACAGGGTACATGGTTGCTGACGTAGATTTGTCAAAAATAGAAAAAAACAGATTGTTGCAATTTATTTCCATTGCCAGGATTTGAACCCTTAACTTCAACAGCAGAATTAACCAAGTTGGTACTGTATATGTCACATCCGTTGCTGATATTGAGTAAAAATTGTGTTACTCGGGTTCTTACTGGAAATGGCGACATGTAAAACATCCAAGACTCAAATTGGGAATGAAAAAATTGAGTCTGTCGTTGATCAGGTCTGTTGAATCAAAATTGCACAATCCTATTATGTTCTTTAAGATGGATCAATATTCATATCCCTAAACTTTTGGTTAGACTTTCTCTCTCCCTGATGTATATTGCCTTGAAACATGAAAAGCATTTTATTTTTTGTGTTGAGAAATGATGCATTGCGGTCTTCCTGTTCCGTGATGTAATTCATTTATTAGGACATGTTTTCCTGTTCCGTGAGTTGACAATATTGAAATTTCATGCATGCAGCTTCAGGGAGTAATTCACTGGAAGGATAATTTTACATGATGCAATATTTACATGAAAACTGGGTTATTGGTTTATCTTTCCAGTTTCTGAAAATTTCTCACTCATCATTTTATATTTACACACCCTTTTGATATTTTTTAGTTGAATTATATGTGGTTTTCTGAAATATTTGGGTTAACTCTTTTCTTTTACCATCGAGTGAGATCAAATTGAAAAATGAATCCAGACACTGGATAGTGACTTATTTGTTTATATATTTTTATGTATGGCCTTACGAGTATCTTTGTTGCAGGACTTAACAAGATCTACTTAACTTCTGCGAAGGTATTTAGACCAATGTTATGACATTACCTAAGTGATTAAATAAAAGCTTAAATGAGGAAATTCTGATATAGTAGGATGTAGTTGATTGATGATCGGCTTTTATGTAGAAAATAGGAGTATTCCTTGGAAACATTAATCTGCATTCTATCATGCAATAGAGTAGGAGTATGCCAACAGTGGATGTTACATTGTAAAAGCTGGTTAGGGGAGGAACCTCAACCCATTACATCTCGCGATAGTGGAGAGGTGGTTTTGCTAAATTATCTGCAACCATATTGTGACGGCGTTTGGTGAAGAGAAGTACAGATTATTACCTCGATGTGTCATACTTGCACATTCCATTAGCAATTCAGCTTGATACGTTCTTTCCAACTCATTACTCTTCCATGCAGTCTCTTTCAATACCGTGTGGTCGAAACACATTCGGGCAGCTCTGTGATAGTAGCTATCGAATATAGTTGCTGCAGATAGGCATGATTTTAGTTCCCTCACCCCGTTGTATATCAAAGAAAAAAAACAAGCTTCTATCACTTTGTATCTTATGCCGCTTGCTATCAAGCAAGTGAGAACCATGGCTAGTTAACGAACATGTCACGTCCAGCATATGTACCATCGCTAACCCTTTATTGGAGAATGTAAGCGCAAATGTTCTTGCGATAAATTCATCATCTCTCAACAAAATTGTATAGCGCATTCGACAAAGTTATGCAAACCTAATCTCACCGTAAAAGGATAACTGACATAAAAAGACACAAATTTTACAATCCATCTATGAGTAATTTTCAGGAAGGATTTGCTAATCATTATTTGCTAAAAAGACACCCACTGAAAGCATACATATACGGACATAGAAAGTATTTTAAACTTTTAAAGAATCCGAAAGTACCTAGAGTGTATTATGTAAACAATCAAAGAAACCAACAGTTAATATACTTAACTCAAAAACAAAATACAACGGTTTATTTGGGTGGTCAAAACAGGAAGTTATTGATTTTGTAACCTTGGCTCTCAAATCATTATATTGGAAGTGTGCTTGGACTTCAAACTAACGTGTTGATGTCTTATAATCAATAGGAGGGTTGAAAACAGCATGTTATAGTTACGTATTCATTAGTTTATATTTTAAAAATTTACAAGACAAACATCGGATAACCACTTCCACCCATTTAAAAATCAATGCAAAGTGAAAACGATGGACGAATTTTTGGGAGAATTTTGGATTATCGGTCAATTATCCATTTCTCCCAAAATAGGATAACTAATCACGTAGTAAAGCTTAGCTAATGACTTTGTATTGATATCTACACAAGTTTCTATCATTAGTAAATTAGCATTTAACATGAAACTGAGATTTCCAAATGTAAAAAATTAAAGGTCATTATTTGATCGTGATGGGATAAATTTGAATAGAGGATAAAATGTTAATTATTGGTTAAGAATGAAATAAATTAAAGAGAAAAAATATATTTTAAAGTGACTAAACCGAATAAAGTAGCGCAATATTCAATAATCAATCAATATTTGAGAACATATTCACTAAAATTATAAGAAGAAAACTTATAGTTATAGTGTGAGTCAATAAAGAAAAAAACAAACCAACTTTATTTGATATGTTTCTAATAACATATAACTCACTATAAAATTATATGTCCATGCTTAAAAATAACATGAATCTAGTAAAATCCGATGTGTATCCTAAACTAATAAAATAACCAAACACTTCTTTCATAACTAATCCAGTTTACAATGATTAATAAAAGTGATGGCTTTTAAGTATAAAAAAAGTGCTAAAAAGTAACGATTAAATTTCATAAAAGGTTAAATATGATGAAATAAAAAACAAAAAAATTTCAAGATATAAAAAATGCTATACGACATGTGATAAAAAATTATTGACTTAAAAAAACAAAATAATATTATTTGTAGAATTTATAATTATGTATTACAATAATATATGCACACGCAGACAAAACACACACATACTTAGTAGCTAATTTCACATGTGCCTTCTTCAATTTCATGTGTTAAAAATGATTATGGTTAAATAAAATAATTAGGAATATTTATGAAAGAATATGATATAAAATTTAAAATAAAATTTAATTAGCATACGTATCAATGTTTAATTAAAAAATTAATTATGAACTAACAACTTTAAATTTTAGAAAAATAAAAAATATTATAAGAATCAATATTAAAGTTCGTTCATTTTACTGTTAAAAAAATTCAAGTACTTGTTAATATTATTATTATAGTGGTAACATTGATGAAATATTAGGAAATCTAGTTATTTACATGGATATAATTTAGTAAAAATAGATGTTAAGTTGGAAAAGATATTTACTTTAGGTTTTAAAGATTATAAATGTAAGACTTATTTAAAATATATAAAAAAGAGAGAGAAATATATGTTTAGAAGCAAAATGACAAAACAGATACTTGTATCTAGTCAAAAAACATAATGGGCAACCCTTGATAATTTATATATATATATATTAAAAAATATATCTTTAATTACATGATAGTTTTTAAATTTTTATTTATTAATTAATATTTATTAGATAAATAAAATAAATTGTTATATTTATATATTAAAATAATTAATTATAATTTAATTAATTTTTTTATAATTTAAATTATAATATTATAATATATTTATATATTTTAATGATATACAAAATATAATTTTTTATTTTTATTTTAATATATAAATATTTTTTTAAAAATCAATTAGTAAATTGTACTAACCTCACTGTTTTTTTAAGTAGGCTAACGGCCACACCCGTTTTGCAATACTATTTGGAAGGATATATGCTCTTGCACGTTCCTATCACGTGTGGTCAAAGTTTTCATCATTTTCGTTTTCATGGTAACGTGTCTCCATTGATTATTTAAGAGGGAACACAATGTTACGTTCGGCTTCTTTTTATTTTTTATTTTAAATAATTGTTCCGTTTATGGGTTGACTTTAGTCTGTTTAAACTGCATCTACTTTCACAAGACGAAAGCAGGTTATCTTATATTCAAAGTTTCCGACTTCGTTTTTTCTTCTTCACATTTTTTTTTTTTCACATGATTATTTTGTGGACTTTCACACATTTGTCTTTTAGGTATGAGCCACGTGTTACTTGTTCTTCTTTGAAATTTTTTCTGGTGGAGAGAAAATTAGATTCAATCTCCTACGGAGGTGGATTGTACTACAAACTTCAATACATAATCCATGTCACTGCTCCATTCAGTGTTAATACATGTAATGCAAAATCTTTAGCTCTGTTCCCTAACTTACTTAAAAATGTTTTATTAGTATTTGGACACAATTAATCTATGGAGCTTATATATCATTTAATAAAAAAATATTTTTTCATACATGTGTGTGATTTTTTTAAGTTAATATTCAATATATATAAAAAAGAAATCATGAGTGGTATTATATTTTTAAAAATAAAAAAATTTCCATACATTTTTTAAATCAAAATGTTTGATAAAAAAATTAGAATTCATTAAGAAAATTTATGTTTACTAAAATAAGAATAAAATATTCCATGTTATCTGATCGTAAGTCATTTTGATGAAAAAAATGGTAAAGATATTATTAGAAAAATATATAAAAACTTATTATAAATCAGGCAAGTTAAATGTTTTTATTGGTGTGGAAAAATTTAAAACTGGATGGAACAAGTTTGTTGGATAAAATAAAGAGCATATTTATGATGTTAGTCAGCAAATACTAACCAAGTAAAGATTGCAGTATTTCATTTCATGCTTTAAATTACAGAAGAGAAAGAGGTTTTAAAAAATCCACCCCGAAAAAAGTTACAAAGAGGAACATATCTAATCCCTAATTAAGCTCCCCAATGGTGTTTTTTTTTTTTTCTATCCTAAATGTTTAACTTGAACCACATATTTAGTACGTGGATCATACATAGCCACTAAACAAACAAAAGAAGTCATCATCATCACCCTAACCCAACCATAAATTACATGCCAATAAAATTAAATCAGTACCCTACTGCAAACACTATCACTTAAATATTTACACTGTTTTTTCTTTTCTTTTTTTTTTATGTAATAAAATAAAACTAACTACATATTAATTGATTGAGTTTAAGCGGCACCGCGGTTAATCATCTGCATGTACTGTTCTAAGGATTGTTGTCTCTGCAACCTCATCTCGTCGTTGAACTTCCGTATGAACGCTTCCACGCGCCGATTCAACTCCTCTTGACTCAGCGACGGTTCTTTCCGCAGCCTCCCGGCGCTTGGCACCTCGCTGAATGTCTCATCGGACTTGTTTTCCGGGGGTGGGGCGAGGTTGCCGCGGCTGTGCCACGTGTCACACTTCTTCATGTGTCTGCTCAATGGCATGGATCGACCCTCCGTTATGGCCTTCCACGTGCTCTCCAACGTTTCGTGCCGTTTCGCCTTGGCCACCACCCTCAACGCTCTCCCACCTGCTCAATCACAAAACGCCATACGTTCCTTCAATCAAACTCTTTTCAAATCCACATGCAACTTGCTAAACGACAACACTTCTTTGCGCGTGTTCAATCCTAACCGCTCTACATTTTTTTTAACGCATGGAAATAGTAATTGAGAGAATAAATGATCATACACTATTCATACATCAACATTTGTTGATTTTTATAAAAAATATTCAGTATGTCTATATATTGTACAAAAATAATTATATAATCATTATTAAATTGAATGATAATTATTTGGAAATTAAATTGATTATAATATGTACCTTCACTAGTGGATTTAAGGAATTTCCGTTGAGTGAACCTAGCAGACAAGAGAGGTTTCTCCGACGGCGATGGAATCTCCGTCGAGTCTGTTCTCTTTACTGTCATTCCTTGGTTTATTACTTTCTTTTCCTCTTCTTCTTCTTGGAGCACGGCGGAACCGTTAACAAATACGGCTTTTATTTCGAGAAGCGGTGGTTCTGGAGCTGTGGGTGGCGGGGATTGAATCTGTGGAGGAGGAGGGGTAGGAGGAGGAGGAGGAGTTGAGCCGGGTTGATGTTTTGGGTGGTGGAATCTGGAGGATGCGACGATGGATATGATGATGGTGTTGAGAAGGAGGAAGAGGTAAGGAGGCTTGAGGAAGAGGAGGAAGGAGGTCCAGAGGAGAGGGAGCTGAGTGGCTGCTACTGGAAGAGAGACTTTGACTCCCAAGGCGGCGAAGATGAGGGCGGCGGAGAGGAGGAGAAGTTTCCAGGAATGCATGTTTGGCCGGAAAAGTTTAGAAGGTTTTGAACGAGTGATGATGATGATAGGGAGAGATGTCGGAATGGGAATAGATTTATAGAGATTGAAGGGAGTGTGGAAGCACAGTAATGATGAAATCGTAGCCGTTGATCATGGGTCTATGCCGTGTAGGACCCTCTCTTTTTGTTCTTTTGTCACCAAACTCACTGGTCCTCACCACCATTTTCTTTTTAATTTTTTTCAAGAGGAATTTAGGGATGTTATTAGTTATTAATGATTAACATGTTGACCCTATAAATACCATAAAAATAATGAATTTTACTTATCTCACTTCAACTATATCACAAAATATTAAACATTTCTACTAAAAGAGTTTTTAAGTTTCTTGTCATCTAATCAGTTGAAAGATAATTCTCTTTTAACGAATTAAATTAAATTTAATTAAATTATATTTTTAATAATATATTAAGTACGTTATAACCTTATTAATAATTAAAAAATTAATTACGATAACAATAATAAACCAGTCATTATTTTATTACTTTTTAAGTTATAATAAAAGTTATAAATATAAATAAGAAATAAAATTAAATAAGATAAAAATATGATAAAATAATTATTAATCTTTATATTATTTATGTAAAAATATATTATATATTAAAAAACAAATTTAAAATAAAATTGTTCTTTAAGAAAAACTGTCAAAACCAGATCTAAAAATCTAACCATTTTATTTATTTATTTTATACCCAGTCAATTATTTTTTTTTAATAAATACCAATTTGCATACAGATTTTCGATAAGATTGATTAAACATGCCGATACAAATGACACGATTTTTTTATAAAAAAAATGAGATATAATTTTTAATTTAAAAATAAGTTTCATCATGTCATGTTTATTTTTTAAGATCTTCTCATATATTGTATAAGAACTACATTTTTTATAATTTTTTTATATTTAAAAAAGAATTTTCCCTACATTATATCCTAATAGAAATTTTTCATAATACTTATGTTTAAAATTTAACTTGGATATGCTCTTATAACATTAAAAAAGTAGCATTTTATTGTATATAAAATTATTATGGTAACGATTACAGCGGTGGAGCCATTCACCGCGGAACCAATCCAGGAATCGAACATTCTTAGCAACTAATTGATGTGAAAAAAGTGGGATGGTTTTCTTCTCTTGTCACCCTTTTCCTTCTAAATCAAGTTATCTACAACGATAAGAGTTTAGAACAATGTATGAAATAAAGATTTAGATTCATTTTTTGTAATTTTTTAATTATTAAAGAACTTTTTTTTTTACAATCCTTCAAAGTAATTAAACTAAAAAATATATATTTAATTACACTTGTATTATAACATGATTTTATGAAGTTTATTTATCTTTTTTAGTAATTTATATTTTTAATAATTTCAAACCAAATTTTTTACTTAAAAAAATGTTCAACTCAAAAAAAAAAAAAAACTAGTGAATATTATATGTTTCAGAAACTAAATAATATTTGTTTTGTTAAAATAAGTTTGTATTAATAATATTGTTCCCGTTCTTTTAAAAATATTATATAGTTGCCAGCGAAACAAGTGCATCGTCAACAAGAAGACGTTGCTACATTGGCCAATTTTAATATTACTCATTTTACGACTGAGAAATTAGTTTTTTTTTTTTTTTCAGAAGACTAATTAGTCATACTAAAGTTTTTCAAATTTGGAAAAAATGGGATAATTGGAAATGAATGCTAGGTTCAATTGTAATGTTTCATGTTAATTAAATGACAATTGGAGATTAATTCGGTCAATTAATAACTAAAGGGGATATCTTATTTCACCATGTAATAAAAAGCATCAATTATGATGATATTGAAAAGATTCTTACTAATGAATTTTTTGACAAAACTAGTTCAAGAATTAATAAACAATTTTATTTTGAATTTCACATTAAAAATGTATTAAACATTGTTATAACAGTATATGATGAATAATGTTCATAAAGTGAATAGGAAGATTTTTTTTTTTTTTGAGTTTACACTCCCCTCTCTTTTGCCTTAAACATTAAGATTATTTGATAAAATTGACATTGACAGTGATTATAGTTTTCATGCAAATGAAATCAGCTGGGACAAGGAAGAATATTGACTTGTGATGAGGGAACAAGGATCACACATGTGGATACATATATGTTTATAAGATATCATATTCTTAAATGACTATCTTAGTCATGGGTGCATCTGTCTCAGAAGTGGGCCATCTCTTGAAAAAAAAAAAATAGAACATCAACAAGAGAAAGAAAGGTCTAGTGAGCTTATAAATTCCCAGAACAGAGGATTAAAAAAAGATGTTGTTTTTAAGGTTAATTGAGTAGAATATGTTAGAGAAAAAGACAACTTAACCGACTGAAAATGACAATGAAAGTTGTTTATTTGGACATTTCAAACCGTAATTTTAGGAGTTTCTGGATTCGGATCCTCGTGTTGTTGTTTTGGTAGAGTCGAGATGAACAATTACCCACTCCCAAAGCCACAAATCTCAACTCTACCACTTTCTATCTCCCGCTGAGAGATAAAATGGTCGGTTCAATAAAATTACCAAAACCATATAAACTCGCAACTTTCTTTAATTCATTCGTAAAATTGACTTCTCCTCTCGTTGGTTTCAAGAACGAAATTGCCTTGCAATCCACAAAAGGTCCAGACAAAAACTTATGTGTGATGCTCAGAAGAAGCTAGTAAAGGAAGCTTTCAAGAACATATCCTTAATCTGAAAAAGTGATAGTATCCTTTTATTTAATATTGAAATTATGATTTTTCATATTTTCATTTTATAAGCACAGACACACACAGCTGATATTGACTGCACAACAAGGATCGAAGATCCCAACGTAATAATCGTTCTTTTTTTGGTAATGTTTAATAAGATCAAAGTAGGTTTAATTTAGGTCTTCTTTAGATTAAACACGCAATAATGTAACAGTTTGCACGTAAACGAAAAATTGATACAAGATGCTTGAACATTTTCATGCTTGTTCATCTTCATGAGATACAAGGTTTTCAGATAAGAATAAGAAAAATTGATTAAAAGTATATTTTAGAAGGTACGTGTCCTGATTTCGAAAGCAAAAGGTATTTGGTGAGAAATTTAGAAGTTTAAGAATATATTATGTGTCGGCAGACAACCTCGGGTTTTAACTTTGTGTAGGAAATGATAGATAATTTGTGAGTGAACATCTTAACTTTGGATATAAATATTTATGATTCGACCACACCCAAAAGGATAAAGATAAAAAGGAATTAAGAAAGTCCAGTATTCAAATTGACAATACTGAAATGGTCAATAGGGAAACGTATGGAAGTACATGATTTTGGATAATGTGTGGGGCCATGATCATTATTTAAGTGTGTTAGCTGGTGGATAGATTAATGGCAGTTGGTAACATTTAGATCACAATTACATCATTCAGGGGAGTGTGAATTCTAATATCATATGATCATCCTAAACCATCCCTTCTAACACGGAGATCTTAAATGATGAGTGTTTGATCCAAAGATAATAAAAAGGTGATGAGAAAGTAGAATAAAATGAGGGTGGTGAGAGGGGATGATAGCTGAAGAAAAAGTGAGTGAAGAGACAGTGGAATGGAAGATTAGTCCCTTGCATGTTTGGTCAACAAGAAGTTAAGATATGATGAGAGTAACGGTTGGAGTTAGCTTATACGTTTTGAAGTCAAGAAAGTAGAATATTGGTACTGTTTTTTTGTAGTCTTATGCACCGTCCATTGCTCACGAAAGGTCCAAATGTTACGCTTAACATGCCAGACCTCAGGTTTAATTAAATTCTACGTTTTTTTTTCTTCAATATCTTAATATACTTTTGGATATTCTTTTAAAAAAACCCATATGTATCTGTACTTATTTTTATTCTTTTTAATATTTTAAACTATAATTTAAAATAAATTTGTAGATGAATAAAAAATTACCATTATAAAACAATATACGTGCCTTATTAAAGAAAGAAAATAATAACTTCTAGAAAACCTTCTGAAAATTTAAATTTATAAGATACAAGTACAACACTAGTTATATTGACCTAGGTATCTTGATAGAACGTAACGTAAAATCAATACATCTTTTTACAGGGGCTGGGGTTCTGATTGGGCATGACCTTACCGTACGACAGTTTTTCATGTAAAAAATGACTTTTCCTCGTTTTTCAATCCACTCATTCCAGTCCAAAACGTTTCCAGCGACAGAAACTTGGTCGCGGGAAGAGAAAAAAATGCAACGCAAAGTCCCCTCCTCAAGTTCCACAGAAACATATTCGATAATGAGATGCACGTTAACTCCCCCAGCAAAATGTCCAGGTATACTGCGTATGGACGCAAGTCCCTTAAAAGCGCAAGCCAAACTTTTCTGAAGGACTGGCTTTAATTTGATGGTTTATGTACAAAGTGTAGCATCTCTCATTATCAACGTATCAATATAGTCTAACTTTATCAATCAATAAATAAAACTGTACTTACTTTCCTAGTTTTCGCTACTGGTACTTTGTTATGTCCTCACTCTCATCAGAGGAAGTCACTGCCTTTTGATCAAGATTGTCATTCAGAGAATCTTGATCAACCAGACAGTGGGAGAGCTTTGATTGTTTTATTAACTGAGATTAAAGAAGAGCTTAATTTTAAGCCCAGACAGGCATTTTTTTCCCTTCATATTGGAGGGTAGAGCCTTCATTTTAGTAGCCAAACAAAAAAACTAACTTTCACTAACAGGATGGTATACGGGTTACCAAAATGAAATTGTCATTTTAAAGAACTCCAGATGCTGTTGCATCATCTTGGTATCTCATTTTTATTATAGGTGCACAATATATGCCAGCCACTATTGATGGAAGTTCTTATTGATGTACTTAAAAGAGGATAGTAGCTATAACAGAGAGCGAGTAAAAAAATGTCTTAGAGAGCGTCTTTCTAAGATTTCTCTTACATGATTGATCAGTGTGTCCGGGGAAACGGGTGGGTCCTCCACACAAATGAGATCAGGGTATGAATTAATAAATGCTGAATTTCGGGTTAGTCTTAGTGGGATGCTTTTCCAAAAGTTTAATTTGTTTTCACCCAGATATCTCAGTCGGACCTGATGGGTAAGCAGCAGGGTTCGATCCTGCTTGCTGCTAATACCATACCCCTATTCTTTTCCCCTAATCCCTCCCCACCGGACAACCCCCCGAAAAACATAAGTACACGATTTGGTTGAAATGCAGAAGCCTTAAATTGGCCAAGGAGGTGGAAACTGAAGCTTGTGCAATGCTATTGAGGACTATTGCTAAATTTATATTAAGATAAGACTCGTGCAAAAATTACCATGTAACACGGACAAAAGAATTGAAGTTATTCAAGTTTGAGTTACTGTATTCAAACCATGAAAGTATCTGACTATGAAACAGTAATCAGAAACAACAATCATGCCAAGCAAATGGCTATCCGGTAGATGGCAAACAATGATAATAAAAACTAATCTCTTTTATTATGGCTGGGAAATTACAACAACCAAAATGAAAACATCACAGAGGTGGTGGATGGGCAGCGTTGTACAGTACAATAACATTATAAAAAGAACACATCCACTTGGCATCAATGTTTTCATGTTTCTAGCGCCACAATAAAGAACTCCTAAATACATCTCTGTAGCCTGATATTTCTAGCTTATCATATTAGTCATTTTTCTTGTTTTGTCTCAGCATTTTCTCAACTTCTCCACTATATGGTGCAGGATGATAAGCATACTGTTGAAGAACAGAAAAGATAACCATCTCTAGACATACCAAAATATTCTGCATTGCTTCCTCAATGTGCTCCACATCTAACCGCAAATGACGGGATTGAATGACACCAAACTTTGCTAAAAGGTTCAGCAACATCCCCTGCACATGCCAAAGACAGTTCGTTATTATCAAAGAAACAGCCCAAGATGATGATAAAATTATATATGAAGGATAATATAAAAATATAGGGCTAGGTATAGAATTGAAGGTAAATGTAAGAGACAAATGAATGGATCAAGCAAATTGAAGCACAAAGTTGTAAGAGAATGGAATGACCCATCAGTGCGGGAATTCTTCATAATGGAACTCATATGATACTGAACAATGAACAACAAAATCCAAAACTAATTCATAATTCAAAAATTTGGACAGAAGTTAGAGGCAATTAATTTCAAAACAATGTTTCAAATTTTTAAATAATTCAGGAAAAATGTTTAGTCTTTAGTTTAGATTTTACAAAAGTAGCAAACAACCTCAGTGTCAAATTGTCTCAAATTGATTGTTGTATTCTTTCTATTTTCCCATTCATAACAAAAAGTTAATGTTTATTTTCTTCGATTCCTAATTTGCACATTTTATACTAGGGATACAATTATTAGTTTATTACACAGATCTGTACATGAACAAGGACGGATTCCTAGGCTAACACTCATAAGGCATTGAAGATTTATTTGTAATTAGATCCCGGGTCATCATAATTGTCTTTAGAGTTTAGACCATGCAAATTGAATCTATCAGTGAATGACTTATGATGCCAAAAAAATAAAATCCAACCTGATCAAGTGTTTTACAGCAACAACAATAACAACTGACCACCCACTAAGTGAGATCGGTTAAACGGATCAAACAACAAAACCATAATGTTCTGACGTAAATCACACCTATAGAAAATTTATTAGCCATTAAATTATTTCATCTACAGTTTTTCTTAGTCTTCTCGTGACGGGGTTACCTTTCCATTTGGTCGACTCTCCTCACTTAGGCTTCTACAAGTTTTCTCATGCCTGAACCACCTTCCATCTTTTCTACAATAGGTGCTACCTCGACATTTTCTCTAATGCATTTATCCCTAAACCTGTTTTGCTTGGTGTGTTCAGTCATCCACAACACAACATTCTCATTTTTACTACATTGAGTTTTTTCTCTTGATGGCAACACGAAAATAAATAAATAATAAGTAAAATCATTATGGAAAAGACCATATCTGCTAGAATTGCAAGTTCAGCAAGTAGTTTCTATATTCCTCCAACAGAAGGGGTCTGCGGCTCTCTACTGCTACTTTAGGCCCTAATTCTTCTTTAGGTTGCCATTTAACTTGGCTTATATAATGACTATATAAAGGATAATGAGTTTACCTGCCAAAAGCAGAAGAAAACAATTCCTTTGATGCACAAGAACTTCGCTAGAGGCGTGTGCGGTGCAAGTTCTTTAGCAAACACATGGTAAAAGACCACCAGAGAATACAAGGCTAACGACACAGATATGTTGAGAATGATGGTGAATGTCCAGCTCAACCAATTTGGATACAGTCCAAGTAGCTGTAATGCAATCATTAAAATGGAACATACTGGACGGATAACAACAAACTGCCATGTCCAATATTTTAGAAGCTTCAAATTACGGTAGTTCAGGTGAACAGTTCGAGGCTGCAAAAGTTCAGTTTGCAAAATTATGAATACTATGACATAATTAACATCACATGCAAAATGTAAATTTCTTGTGCGTAGAACGAATCCATTCTCCCCGAAAGTTTAGCACAATTCTAAGTAGTCATACCTGAAAAAGTGTCATGGGAAAAGAGTGGTGAATTTCCCTGCCCTTAATTTCATCGGGCACAATGTTTCCACTAATTGATATGTTCAAGTAACTATACATTAAAGCCAAAAACTTGGCAATGACCAAAGCTTCATAACATTCTTTAACTGACTCCAAAAAGGTGAAAAACTCCTTGCTTCCTCTAATATCCAAGAGACCCACAAAGGAGACAGTTGCATAAAGGGGAGCCATAAGAATGATGATGATAATAGCCTTTTGCTCTTTTGGATTCTTCCAATAGAAGAGATGCTGAGACAATAACTGCGATGTGAAATGCATGGAAAGCATAACGCAAAACGCGGATCCCAGCACAGTAATCTGTGCGGGATTGAGTGTGCTTAGATCTATCATTTCTCACTACACTCTGTCTGAGATGAAGGCCAAATAATTTAAGAACCTGCAAAAGAAATTAGAAAGGGATCGTCAAACAAAAGGAAATTAGAGCACGAAACAATACCATCCGAAAGGAAAGTAACATTAAATTCAGTTCATAGTAATAAAAGGTCACTATAATTCCCAGCAAGCCCAAAACATGTTTGTTTCATAACATAACAACCTAGTTCCTCTGAAACTCACATAAACAAAGACCACCTCGCTTAGGAAAAGGCGAGTTCGGGTTCAGGGAACAAGTAACAAGCAAACTTGATTTATGAGAAACAAAAACAAAGGGAATAACAGAAAGGAGTTCAAAAGAGAAAGCACGAAACACACCTAAATCGACGCGATTCAACAAATGGCAGCTGAAGCAATGAAAGAAGGGTTTATGATTGTATAACTCAATAGTTCAGACACGTGGCACCGACTATCATATTGTTTATACGTGTCACTGTATGTCAGCCATGGCGTGCTCCTATTAGTTCTCGGGGTGATTAGTCAATTCCGACGACGGAAGGACAAATTCAATTTGTAAACTACATTAGGAAATTTAAAGATGTTGTTATTATATTGATGATTTTTTTCATTTTCTGATTTGTATATTCAATTTTGTTTAACTATTAGATGTCGCAACAGTTCTCAAGAATAAACAATAAAGTGATAAAATAAAGATGTAATACCATATTCCTAAAAAGAGATGTAATATAATAGAGATAGTAAAATTTATTTCGATTTATTTTAATATTTATGCTCCTAATTTAGAGAGAATGAAATAAAATTGAACATGCCCAAACAATAAAATAAAAGTATTTTTCTCAGTTCTCATAGGAAGCACAGAGTTATTGAGCAGTTTGGCTGTAGTGGAAAATTGGTATGAAATTGAGTTTTACGAATGCTCTGAAATGAAATATGTGCAGATGCTTGGGCAAAGAGTATGTATGAATCACTTTCTGGAAAAACTATGCCTCTTCCAACTGGACTTTATTCCGGATTGTTATGGAAGGTTGAAAAGTTTCAAGACTGGGAAGTAGCTGGTGGACGACGACCACAACCATGACTCGTATAAACACCTAAAATATGTAATCACATTGAATAACATGTTTTCTTTCTTTACGCTTACCAATTGCACTTTGGACTAATCTCTTTACGAGCTTGCATCAATCTCTTTATAAAATTCAAATACTATTTAGGACTAATCTTTTTTCTTGGGAACTATTATTGATCTCTGGGTTTATCTTTTAATTACCGGAGAATCAACGTGCATCATATGTCTATCCATCAATTTGTTTCATTAAATTCCCACAACTATTTCTTTCTATCTCAACATGAATTTAATCACACTTCTCTTCTATCTCTTTTCCTACCATTTCTCTCTTAATTGTAAAAATTATTGACATACAAATACAATCCCATTGAAAAGAAAATAAAATGTTATGTTCTGTTTTCTACTAAATAAGCGAGGCTAGATTGAAAATCTATTGTAGTCTTCTGATTTCTGAGCATTCGAGGCTGATTAGTGCTACTGAATCTTATATTTGAAAACCAAAAGTTAAGGTATTCCATTTTACTAGAAACGGTCCTTGCAAAAACCACAAAGAACAGAAGCAAAAATAGAGTTTCTTCTGACAACTCATTTCTTGTTACATCAATTGCTACATACGAACGGTAAGGTTGTTGAAATCAACAAGCCATATCAATTCCTACCGTAACCTTAAAGCTCAACCTTATTAGAAACCTGAGATCGTCTCCAAACACAGGATTAAAATATACAACACGAACTTGAGTATTTATGACAAGCATCATGGCAAAAGCAATATTTTCCCAATATGCTGGCTGCTTTCCATAAGTTGATGAGCTTCCGCTGCCTCGGCAAGAGGGAAAGATTTGTAGATCACAGGTTTAACCTTTCCTTCGGCAATGGCAGGCCAAACATTCTTCTCCACTTCACTAATAATCACGGCTTTATTTTCAACACTTCTATTACGTAAGCCAGCCGCTGCACATAATCCACCATATGACAATGCACAATGTTATGTTCAACTAAGTCAGATCATACCACACCATATAAAAGAGCTCACATTCGAACATTGAACAAGTTTGCTGTCTAAGCGTATGTTTGTGCTAAAATTGGAGAAAGGCTAATGTAGGTTAACGAAAGTAACACCTTTGTTACTTTTCCATTGAACTGTGCATCCTAAAGGGTTTCCAAACATAGCCTAATGCTTCCTCATACAAAAGTCATTTTCAAGAAGATCAAAAGAAGTAGAAATTTAAAGGGGTGTGCCTATTCTTGATGCAGATAAGTTTGGAAGCTCCTATACAGAAATGTAGAAAAATATACCAGTAAGAATGTGTGAAAAGCACAAACAAAATTTGTAGGATGTCATTGGAAAATTGTGTTAATCCTATTCTTAATTTTCTCATTATTCTCCCCTCTACCCAAAATTTAAAAGTTCATATACTTCTTTGCTTTTTTTTAAGTTATTCAGAGAGATTTTTTTCTCTAATTTCTTCATCATCAACATACAAGAGATGGCACTATGTTTATACTTGCACAGACAAATCTTTACATTAGAAACTGAATGTGGGCAAGAGAATATATATAAAGAAACGGTATAATCCGAGGTTTGCAATACCTTGTACTGTGAGACGCTTCGCAAGTAAAGAGCGGAGATCTACTTGTGTGGTAACCCCACCTTGAAGGCCAATAATAAAGAGCCTTCCATCCAAATTCAAGCTATCAATATTTTTCTGATAGTAGGATGCTCCCATACAATCAAGAATAACATCAACACCTGCAACCACACATCAATTACACGGTTGCTCCATGCTTCTCTATAAGACCAGTAATAAAAAACACAAACATCTTAGGTAATATACTACTAAATAGAATAATAAACGCCAAGGCATACAGGAAAATTACATCATGCGACCACGAGATAATACCTTGTCCACCAGTTTCCTCCTTTACCCTAGCAACAAAGTCTTCTGTTTTGTAATTTATGCCCACATCAGCCCCAATACTCTTGCAAAAAGCTAGTTTTTCCTCACTCCCTGTCAAGCAATATCTAGTCTAGAATAAAATTTGGGAAAACATTGGTTGGAATTTCTATAAACCAGATGGGATAGTAAGTGATTAAAATACATTGGAAACTGACTACTATTTGAATAACGGGATAAATCAGTACCGAACCTGCAGTAACAAACACTTTTGCCCCTCGATACTTGGCTATCTGAATTGCAAATGTACCAATCCCACTAGAACCTCCATGAATCTGAGAGTGAGAGATAATATATTGAAGTTAACATAACACTTAATAAGTTAGCAAAAAGCTCAACATACAATTTTTCAGGTAAGATCCAGTGAAAATGCTTGCTTAGTCACGGAGACATACCAAGAAGGTTTCCCCTCGAGATAAACGACTCATCATGAAAACAGTAGACCATACAGTGCATGCGACCTCAGGAAAACTAGCTGCATCCGTGAGGGAAACACCTGGTGGAACAGGAAGCACTTGCTCCGCCGGAACTGCAACTTTATCGGCATATCCTCCTCCGGCGAGAAGAGCACACACCTGTCGATTAACCGTAGCGCATGATTTCGAGTAAAAGTGAAACAGTAACAGAAGAAAGGGGGATTAGGTTAGGAGTACCTGATCGCCGATTTTCCATTTGGAAACGTTTTTACCGAGGGATAGGACGATTCCGGAACATTCGAGACCGAGGTAGGGACTGGCACCCTTAGGGGGAGGGTAGGAGCCTTTCCTCTGGAAGATATCGGCTCTGTTAAGGGCAGTAGCGTGGACTCCGATGAGAAGCTCGTCATCTCGGAGTTGGGGATCTTCCACTTCTTGAAGCTGCAGCACTTCAGGACCCCCTGGACTCGTTATCACTATGGCCTTCATTTTCTTCCGTTTTCCAAAACCGAATGACCCACTATGTTCTTTTCACCATGTATTTCTTTCTCTCTTTTTTATTTTATTCTCTCATATATCGTAGCCCACTTTTTTTTCATAAATAATATCATTTTAAACAATATTTTCTAAAATAACATCTTTATAATATTATTTATTCATCTACCACTATTTATTATTTATGTTTAAAATTCAGTTATTAAGAAACTAAATTCTAAATTGATTTTTCTAATTTTTTTAGTTTTATTTTTATTTTATTAATTTTATAAATTATTTTTTTATAATTCTAAATATAATTTATTTTTAAATTTATAATTATTATTTTAATTTATGCAATATATATATATATAATTTGAAGTTCATATATATAATTTTAATTTATGTAATATATATATATATAATTATAATTATAATTTATATAATATATATAACTTATATAACATTAAAAATAGATATATTTTTATTAATTTTATAATTATAATTTTTTTAAGGTTATAATTCTAAATATAATCTTTTTAAACTTTATAATTATAATTTATATAATATATATAATTTATAAATAATTATTTTGTTAATTTTAATTTGATATATTTTTTATTTGTAATTATTTAATGTATATTTAAAGTAATTTATTTATATGTTTATATATAATACTTTATAATTTTATTTGTATAAATAAAAAATAATTACTCTAAATTAATCAAGTAAAGAAGAAATTTTATTAATTGAAAAACTCCAAAGTTTTGTAGTACATTGGAACATTTTTTAACTAACACAGCCTAATGATGCGAAGTATATGTACGTGCAACATTAGGGCATATTCTTCTGCAATGACCATGGGTATGACAAAATGAATATTTTTTCATCCTACTTTGATTTTCTGTAATATTCATCTTAGTTCTTATACGACTTTATTTTGGTCGGTCATTTGAAGTTCTTTTCATTTCTAGATTTGCACACAAAGTAGGTCCTGTGTATGTTGACCAATATTCTTCATTTCGCAGCAACCAAAATTGTGTTTTGTATACCTTTAAATCTTGTTGTAAGGTATACACTGGATGAATGTAGTTGTTGAAGTCATGGTGTGCATGCTTGCATGTAGCAAGAACATGTGAGCAAGACATGTGAAATTTCTGGAATTTCCCACAGTCACACCACAACTCATCAAGGTGAATTGCAAACCTCCCTGCTGGTCGAACTTCACGCAAATTTTGTGTTTCTTTTACTACAAATTTTATGATAGATCTGTCAAAAGTTATGACCCTATGCGTGTTCGCTTGTATTTGTGCTTTCTCTAAATTTGTGACTAAAATTTCAGAGTATACATGACCAACATTGATCATGGCATTTATCTGCCTCCCTCTTTCAATGAAAAATTTGTTGCAGCAGGTGTATGTTGCGTTGACCATGCAGCAAATGGACAGATTTCTTGTTTTTTCAAAACAGAGTTGATAGACTCTGCTATGTTGGTCGTCATGTGGGCCCAACGTCGTCCATTGTCACATTGCCTCAAAATATTGTAATAGTAGTAGAATCGTGGTTCAGTCATCCCATATGCTACAACAATATTAAAAAAAACATAGTTAATATAATATTTATTAGAAACAGTTAAATAATGAATAAATTGTAAAAAATTTGAAGCAAATGAATTATCCATATTTACAACATCTTTCTTTAGTGCGTTGTTTTTGAAACGTCTCATAAAACTCTGTGCAATGTGTCTAATGCAGTAGACATGCACTAAATTATTTTCTATCCATCCGCTTTCATTTCTCATATATGCACTTCTAATGAATTCATGTCGTTTTGATATGAGGCATAATCCTTGTTAGGGTGTGACATATCTTTGAAAGTTTTTTAAGAAAAAAAAAAAACCAGGCATCACTGGTTTCACCTTCGACCACTGCAAACACAATGGGGAGAATGTTGTTGTGGTCATCTTGTGTTACTGCAACCAACAAGGTACATCTATACTTTTCGTACAAAAAAGTTCTGTCTACTTGAACAATGGGCTTGCAGTGAACAAATTCATCTATGCATGGCCTAAACGTCCAAAACACACGCTTAAAAAATTTGAATTTTGTTGAAGGACCCCACCTTAGTAAGTTGGTTGTGACTGCAATTTGTAGATGAATTCAGAAACAAATTGTTGCATGGCTTGTAAGAAACAAGACAAATTCTTACACGAATCCTCCCAATTATCGTAGATGATCTCCACTGCCTTTTGTTTGGCCAGACAGACTTTCCTGTATGTTATAGTATAACCCGTTGTTAATTGGATGTGGGCTATGATTGTGGAGATTGGTGTTGACAGATCAACATCAATTATTTGACCAATTGTTTGGGAAATTATTTTATATCCTGGTCTTGGCTGATTAATGGTGAAACGCATGTATAATGCCCTTCAAGCTTCATAATCTCTCAATATTGTTCTCTTGTGCGCAATATTGCTCGACATCTCCAACAGCATTGGTTATCAACATATTGAACAACATATCTACTTTGGTTTGAAATTTTCACCTTGTATGTGCCGTGATTGACAATGTGAAAGCAGTTGATGACATCTTGAACTTGTTCTTTTGTGATGAAACGTTGTCCAAGAAATAGAGTTCTTGGAGGATAAACAAAAAACTCTTTGTCCAATGCATGACCATACTCTAGGTCTTGTTGTTGAATGTGACTTTCAAAGTTAAGAAAATGTTGTGGTGGGTTGTATGGTTCCATGAAATTTGGTGCATGTGTAGGGATATATGGTTGTTCGTCCTCTGAATCATCATGTTGTTGGCTGAGAATTTCATCTTTGTCTTCGTCCTCACTAAAAGGATCAATGACTTCCATTGGGAGACCAACAATTTTGTTCTTTTGTGTGGGTAGTTCTTCGCTGATGTTGGTGAAGACCCAGTTAGAAGTTGGGTAAAAGGGATGTAATCATTATGTGTGAGTATTTCTGGGTCAGTGTTTGGGAAAGCTTGGTAGGGTGAGGGTGAAATTTCAAGTGAGTGTGGGTTTGGGTATGAAGAAGAAGTTTCAAATGTAGCAAATTTTAATACCACATACACTTGAGTTTGATTCATGAACATCGAACATGACCTCTACGTCGTCATCATCTTTCAACTCAACAACAATGAAGTTGTTGATCCCAACTCCGAGTCTAGTTGGGCAGTGAAAATGGATGGTTGCTACATTTTTGTGAGATTCTTTCTCCAAATTCCTGTGAATCAACTTCTTCAACCTTTGTAGAGAAATTTCTCTCTTCAAAGGAATAAGTTTTACAGTCCCAGTATTGAAGATAACTCTCTCCATGGGACATGGTTTCATGGAACTATCATAGTGGATAATAGTAGATATTACACTCATTTTAGGAGTGTGGAACAAATAGAAGACTAAAGGTAAGAAGAAGAAAGAATGCAAAGAGCTTCAGAGATTTAGGAGTGTGCAATGTGGGAGCTTCAAAGAATGAAAGTAGTTTATTGATAATGAAGTCCAATGGTTTGAATCCAAGGCTCCCTCACATGACTTCTGACGCACAGAAAACCCAAGCAAAGTGGGTGAGTCAGCATCTCTTTAAATGTGCTTGGATTCTTCTGCTTTTGCCTAACCCAATGCAGGGAACCCAAGGCTCCCTCACATGGCTTCTGACGCACAGAAAACCCAAGCAAAGTGGGTGAGTCAGCATCTCTTTAAATGTGCTTGGATTCTTCTGCTTTTGTCTAACCTAATGCAGGGAATCCAAGGCTCTCTCTCACACGGTTTTTGACGCACACAAAATTCAAGCAAAGTAGGTGGGTCAGCATCTCTTTAAATGTGCTTGGATTCTTCTACTTTTGCCTAATCCAATGCAGGGAATCCAAGGCTCCCTTACATGGCTTCTGACTCACACAAAACCTAAGAAAAGTGGGTGGGTCAGCATCTCTTTAAATGTGTTTGGATTCTTCTGCTTTTGCTTAACCCAATGCAGGGATTAGATTCCTTGCAAAGCTGACCACCCCATTAATGCATGCTGACCAGACCACTTTCTTGGACCTTGTGTGCGTCAGAAAGACATGAGAATCCTGACTTGGGTGGGTGGTAGTGGCATTGGATTCCCTAAATTGCTGACCACCCCATTAATGCTTGCTAACTAGACCCCTTTCTTGGACCTTGTGTGCGTCAGAAAGGCATGAGAATCCTGACTTGGGTGGGTGACTCAGCATTGGATTCCCTGCAAAGCTGACCACCCCATTAATTCTTGTTGACCACCACATGATTTTTTCTCCTATAAATACATAAAAACACCGAGTTTTCTTCACTTTCAGTTTGTTGCCTAACGTTCACTTTGAGTTTTCTCTCTACATTTCTTCGTCCTCTTACCAGAGCACTTTGAGTTTTCTCTCAACATTTCTTCTTCCTCTTACCTAATGACTGACACTTCTCTCTCACAAAATGTTGTTGTGGAAGTAAGCTGAACATAGAGCTGCCTTCATTGGAAGCAATGTAAGTTTTCAATACATTTCCTTGTTTTATATACATCATTTTGTACATTGCCTATTTTTTTTACAAACTTTATGGTAATGTATAGGAAACGGAAAATATGATTTCATCATATTGTCACTCAATGCCAGAATCGCACTCGTTAATTGTTCCTTTATTGGAGCAACTTGGCTTTGTTGGAGTGTCTAAGTTAAGACACTTGAGGTTGGATCACGATTTGGTCACAACATTAGTAGAATGGTAGAAACCTGAGACTCACACATTTCACTTTCTAACAGGAGAATACACCATCATCTTAGAAGATGTTGCGTATCAACTAGGCCTAAAAGTGGATGGATTACCACTTATTGGCCCAACAATGTTTAATTTGGAGGAGATATACGAAACATATCTTGGCATCACCCCAGTAAAAGATGAGTCACTTGTTGGCTCAATGATCAAATTGAAGTGGTTGAGGGAGAGCATACTACCGCTAGGTGACCAGCCATCCGAAGAAAAAGTTCACGCCCATTGCAGGGCGT